GACACTCATATCACTTTAATAAATGGTACTAGTATCAAACAATAGAATTAGTCTGGATATCCTTAGGCAAAATGATTTTTAAGTCGGAATATTTTATGGATGAATTTCTTTTGGCGAAATGATTTTTAAATGGTTATTTTAAATTAAGAAATCAAAGAAAATTTTTGCGTAGCCACTCCGGTGGTCCCGTGTGGCATTCTGATAAGTCGACTGTGTGTCATACTGGTTTAGGGTATTATATTTAGTAGTATCAGAGCGTTAAGTTTAGATATTGCTAGGGCCTATGGGTTAGCGTCAGTAAGAGTCTATAAGTATACATGCCTATAGGTATGTTAAGAGTACTTCTGCATCTGTAATAGTGATAATAACTCCTCGTATTATCTTAATTTCAATTTTTTAACTATGGATGAGAACCTGGGCCATAGTCAGGAGGGTAGGCACGAGAGTAAAGCTTCTCTCGCGGATTATCTAGACGATGAGTTTGTTTCAGAGATAGAGTTTGAGTAATTTAGGGGTACGACGGTCGAGGTGGCAACTTTCTTTATAGATTTGACTGTGACCCTAAGGCCCATAGTTAGAGCCTTACCCAGGATGCATGCTACCTCACCTACCAAACCAACTTCACGAACCCCTCTCACCGTAGCACTGCAGGAGTCCTCAGTTGACTGGCTCCGAAGGTACCAGACTATAGACTTTTTTAAATCAGAATATGAAGACCCCGTAGCATCTGATCAGTGGTTGAGAGAGACCCTTAAGAACTTTTATCAACTACACCTCACTCCTGAGGTTATGCTTGAGTGTGTCACCTCCCTACTGAAAGGATATGCTATCGACTGGTGGGAGGCAGTTAAGATGTAGATAGATCCTGAGCGACCCACCTCACTTCTTGAAGGAGTTTCGCAATAAGTATATAGAAGAGGCTCACAAGGACGATATGAGGGATCAATTTATGTAGTTCAATCAGGGGATTGTTCTGTATTTGAGTACGAGGTAGAGTTCCTACGTCTAAGCTGGTACGTACTAGAGTTAGTATCATCGGAGTATTATCACTGTAAGAAGTTCATAGAGGGCCTCCGCCTTGACATCCTCACCCATTTATCCATTGATTCACCTATAATCTTCACAAAGCTAGTTCGTTAGGCAAAGGCTTTGGAGAGAGTTCTTGTGTGGAGTGCTACAGTTTCGGGTACTATCTCCGAGCATGCTAGAGGAGCGAATGAGTCTTTCGGACCACTGTAGTCATCTTTGAAGAGGGTGAGAGATTTTTAAGGGCTTTGGATGGCCTCATCCAGTCAGTCTAATAGGCCAACTCAGAATGTGAACAGAGGAGGTGGTAGGTCTGATCAGATTAGGAGACCTTTAGCTACCGCATTAATGGTGAATTTTAGGGGTTTGTTGAGGGTATAATCTTAACTTGCTTGTTTAGTTTGTGGTTGGAGGTATGTGGGCATTTACCGTCAGGGATCCAGGGGTTGTTATCGTTGTGGTTCCTTGGACCACTTTATCAAAGATTGCCAGAGGGATATGACATCAGCCTTGACTTAGCGGTCAGCTCCGTCAGTTTAGAGAGGTCGAGGATCCCATAGTGGTGAGAGTTATGCATTCGGTCAGTCCGGTAGGGTTACAACCTGATCTAGGGCCAGTACCAAGCCTAGAGTAACCACTCGTCAGTATGCAGTCCGAGCTCAGGAGGATTGCGATGTTGTCGATGTGATCTCAGGTACCTTTGTGATTTTTTCTCTTCCAGTTATCACACTAGTCAACCCAGGACCCACTCATTCTTATATCTTTTATGACTTAGTTCAAGAGAGAAAGATTTCAACTAAATATCTTGAGATAGGGGTTCGAGTGTCTAGCCCTTTAGGATTAGATGACTTAGTGGACAAGGTTCATCGTAGTTGTCTAGTTGAAATTTAAGGTGAGACATTCCCAATCGATCTTATGGAGATACCATTTAGAGAATTTGATTTTATTTTGGGTATAGATTGGTTGTTGGAGCACAATGCGAGCTTGAGGTGTAAGCTTCGATGACTTAAACTCATGAAAGAGGAAGGGACAAAGATCATGATATTTAGTAAGAAGCTCAAGTGTGCAAGGGTTTTGTCGGCCCTTAAGGTGCAAATGATGTTAGATCTAGGTTGTGAAGCCTTATTGGCTCATATTATCAACACCAGACTTGCAATTCCGAAGGTAGAGGATATCCAAACTGTCAGATATTTTCCAGATATGTTCTTAGAGAAGTTATCCGATTTACTGCTGGACTGAGAGTTAGAGTTTGGTATAGAAGTCATGCCAGGGTCCGTCCGGTGTCCATTACCCCCTACCGCATGGCACCGACGGAACTAAAAGAGTTCAAGTCACAAATTCAAGTGTTCCTAGAGAAAGGGTCCATTCGGCCAAGTATTTCTCCTTGGGGAGAGCCAATTATCTTTGTTAAGAAGAAAAACGGATTGAAGAGGTTGTGCATCGATTACCGACAGTTAAACAAGTTGACCATCAAGAATCCCTATCCCCTTTTAATTATTGAGGGTTTTCAAAATAGATTCTAAAGTTCAATCAAATTCCATATTAGTCTAAAATTTTCATACACACTCAATTGAGCCACTGAGTTTTAAAAAATTACAAAATAAAAAGTTGATTTAATGTATGTGAAATGCGCCTTTTAGATATTACGTTGATTACATAAATTGAAGACATCGATTGCACCATTATTTACCACTTAGAAGATAAATGAAATAACTTATTATTGAAAACCTTTCACAAACATAGAAATTTTGAAAGCTGAGAGACATTATTTACCATTTTTAAATAGAAGAAAACAAAATGGAAAAGGATGAAAAACATAGAATTGCATTCGTACCAACTAAGATTTTGACTTGCATTAGAGGATGAATTACAATGTTGGACAAAATTCTATTTCGATTTAGGGTTCATACAAAGATATTTCACAATCGAGTTGTTTTATCCTATTTACATGCACAGTCTTTGTCAACTAGGAGATATCTAAATTGATTAAACGTTTCATCTAATAGGTTGAAAAAAATTTGAAATGTAAACCCAATCAAAAGAAAAACCAAACGTTTTATACAGTATTATGTTGTATTTAATTTCTTCCTTGGACTCCAAGGTGAAACTTTCGTGCAAGAACGTGTTGGTTCTAATAATCATGTAGAGAGGTATGCAAAGAAAGAGGGAAAATGTGGAATTACCCATATGGAGTGGCGGATTCAAAAATATTTTTCAGGGTGGGGACACATATGTTAACAACATAAAATTTTGAAATGGAATGAGTTCAAATAAAATTTTAAGGTGGACACCGTTCGTAAAATAAGTAACCCATTAAAAAAAACTCAGATTTCAGGGTGGATTTCATCATTAAAATAAGTAACTAATCGAAAAAAATTCGGATTTCAGGGTGAACACGTGCCCACCCTCACCAAGCAATGGCTCCGCCATTGCCCACATGAAGTTTTTTTAGTATAATTACTGATATCTAAGCTATTGATTGACTAATACGGATCGTGTACTACAAAGGTCCAATATGGGGTGATATTGTCAACTCAATTTGCTTCAATCACAACTATCAGAATTCAAACTCCCGACTCTACTCAAAGAGTCTAGTACATCATCTTACTAGACCAATTAACTGTTGGTAATCCAAGTTAATCAATTAAATTAAATGTGATAAACGTTTTAAATAAATTGCATACGTTAATTCTATATATATGTAAACAACTTGATTCAAAGTATTTTTTCTTTCATCATGAACTTATACAAATTAACACACTTATTTTACTATCTATCAATACATAAATCCATACAATTAGATGATTGTAGCCACCAAGTACAAACACTAACAATTCCGATTGTAGGAAAGCTAGTTAAATAAAACTCTTCTGATCTCATTAAAAAACATTACTTGATGCATTTTTTTATGAAAAATCTGATTTATTTTCTTAAAACGGGGATGCTGCCCAAATTTAGAAACCAATACTATTTGATGAATATATTTACATGTCATTATAAGTTTGGTATACGAAATTATTGTTACGTGACACATTGTGATTTTACAAATTTATTTAAAGAAAAACTCAAGAGAAATTATTAAAATTCTAAAAATTTATTAAGATGAATAAATTTTATTAAAATATCGCTTGAATGTATTGTGATATGATGTGACACCAATTGATTCCAAAAATAGTTAAATTCAATAATTAACATTGAATAAATGAGTGAGTTGATGGGATTTGAAATATAAAAAAGTTAATGAGATTTTTTCAAAAGTTAGAGGATTTTTAAAACCCTTAAACCATTTCCTAATAGTTTTTTATAATATATTTATTCCAATTTTTCAGGTCAATTATACTCGAAATTTGTGTGCACAGATTTCTGATACGCCCAATGGGCCATTTCTACCTTTCATCTATTCTATCTCAAAAGCAACTTAAATGTTCCAATGGCACCAAGGAATGTTGTCGTCAACAAATCATTAGTGAAAATGAACATTTTAGGATTATAATTCATTTTAGTTTGTCAGAATTTTTCTCACTTTTATAGATTGAATAATTTTCATTAATTGATTGAGGGATCAATGATAAAGATTTATCTTAAATTCTAATATATCTCTACTTAATCAAAAAGATAATAATTACTTTTTTCCCACTCAGTTTATATATTTAAATAAAGACATAATTGTAACACCCCGAATTTCTTGATTAAATATAAAATAATTAAATTAATTTAAGTGATTTCCAATATAATTTCCAAGATGTTTACGATTCTGAGCCATTTCGCAAGCTTCCATTCTTTTCAAGGACGTGAACCATTAATTACCCTTTTTCCTGTGGCGTTCAGACTAAAAAAAACATATAAATATAGGTTTCGAATTCGTGGTCTCTAAAGTCATCTACACAAGCCTTAGCCGTTTAGAATAGGTTACTATTCGTGATAAGAATTAAAAATAATTTATGTTAAATGGACTTTAGTTAGATTCAAGAACCTACAGCTTTCCCTTTTGTTTCAAATAAGCCTTCCCCTATAAAACAACAAGGTTTCAACTCTATCTTCCCCAAAACCGAGCCATCCGTTCGACCCAACTCCAACCAGTCTTGGTGTTCACTGCCACCTCCATCGGCACCGTTGCCATCTCGTGACCCCAACCCCGACCACCAAAAAACAAAACTCGTTGTCGTTCACCGTAAAATAAAGAAATACCATTTGAATGCCTTAAAGTCGATTCTGACCATCATTCGTCGTAGGCGTCACCGTCGGTTCTAGTCGACACATCGTCTTAGCCCGACTAAATCATTACAGATCACGCCTTGCAAACCACCACCGTTCACCGAGAAGAGCTCATCAAACCTTGTCGAAAAACCCAAAACTTACCTTCGATTTTCGGTGATTTGGACAGATTCCGAAATCCGTAGAACATATGTCTAGCACAATCGCGCTCCACGTTGTCTCGTGAGCAAAACGCAATCGTGGTAAGCACTTCGATTCCTTTTTCTATTCATTCTTACATTATTTTAGGCTTAATTTCGAACTGATATGGAGTGGTATTGGTTATTGGATGCATTGGGAGTAATCGATCATCTAAAACAACCCTCGTTGGTGTCTTACGCGCCATCACAGGCCTCCACTGCATGTGGGGCTTGTCCTCCAACCAAGACTCTTCTAGAAATTGTATGCTCAAATGAAGTGGCCTAAATCGATCTGAACCCTCTAGATCGTTGACTTAAACCTTACCGTTGACCATTGACCTGACCTGTTGACTTTGACTTTAACCTTTGACTAGTGTTGATCGTTAAATTCGACCAAAAAATCAACTTTTTCGAAAATTCCTTCGTTTTTCGACGTCCTGAATCCGAATTTGAAGTCCGTTTTACCAAATTCTAACTTGAAAGCCTCCGAATTGACCTTCGAACCCGAACATACATAGTTATTTTAATTAATTTGGCATAGTTATTAATTATGTAAGGTACTTAAGATTCTCTTGATCGTACGTCTACTTAACTTAGTTCTTCTCGATTTGCTCGTCCGCGTGAGCTCAGGATTACTCATATGATTCTATAACACCTTTAAATACTCAGTTAGTATATTATTCTGATAGTTACATTGTTCTGATCTGATCTAGGATTATGTATTACTATATATAGTAGAGAGACCGATGCTCAGTAAATCTTTGGATCGACCCATTTTGCAAGGTGTGTTCCTTATGTGCTACATATTGATTTAAACATGTGTTTTAAATTCTCATGTTCACATGACTTTTATATGATTTGAAATATGATTATCTGATCTGATTTGAATACCGAATGATTTATCTTATCTAAAAGCCAAATTATGTATTACCGACTTCTTGAGTGCCTAACTTCTGTTTTAATGATTTAAAATCATTATTTGATTGATAAATACGCTCACTAGATTTATGAACTATTGATTTTACTAGAATTATCTAAAAATGTTTTACAGGTTCAACCCCAATTAGGGTGATAATTCTTTATGGACCTAAGGCAACCCTTGGGTGGGCTCCTAGGCCCAATGGGCCTAGTGGTAAGATCTTATGGACCCTAAGACAGTCCCTTAGGGTGGCTCTTTTGTTTTGTCCTATAGGTAGGTCTTTATGGACCTGGGGCACTCCCTAAGATAGATCATATGCTACGGTTTGGGTAAGTCTTTATGGAACCAATGTGTTCCCTTAAGTTGGCTCCCAAGTCCAATGGGTCTAGGGTGAGCCCTTACGGATGCAGTTATAAGGAATTGCATATAGTATTCGATCAGAGGGTAACTCTATGTTTCAAACAAAAACTATACTGCTCTTTTTACTCTATGTATTCTGAAATCATATTTGAAATTTATCCACATGTTTTATTCGACACTTGTTGGAACACACTGGACTCCCTTAATTTGTTGTAATGTTTTTATCTTTCGAAATGTCTTTCTGATTAGTGACATGTGCCTATATTTTTTATATATTGGCCTTTTTCTTACTTTTTATTACTATCAATGTATGGATTATTTTGGTATCGATTATCATATATTTTTCTTACCCGTAATGTTTTCTGTCTTACAATACTCAATTTAATTTATATATATATATATATATATATATATATATATATATATATATATATATATATATATATATTATTTACAATTTTACTCGTGATGATTTACATCTCAAATTAATTTAAGTGATTTTCAATATAATTTCCAAGATGTTTACAATTTTTAAGTGTTAAAGAAGTTTGAAAATTTTTATTTTAGTCCGTTAGATTTAATCTTATCGCATGTGTTAGATATAGGGAGTTACAATTAGTGGTATCAAATCTTTTGGTTTTAAAAACCTCAAACTGTGGATGAGTCCAAAATAAAAAAAAAACGATTTTAAAATATTTTACAAGTCAGTTACAAAGGCCATGTCACCAACGTTTACGAATTTAATTATTTACGGGACTTAAAGTGCCTATTATAACCTTAGGTTTTATCTTATGTAGTAAATCTCGATACCCTTCGAGATGAGCACTAGGCAAGACAGTTGACTTGGTTGTGGACGAGGTCGAGAGATTAGGTTTTTTATTTTTTAGATGTTACGCATGTAGACCCCACCTTCGATAGACCCTTCTACCCCTCGAGCTCCTAGGACCCTGATGGATATGCCCTTTGCACTAGTTATAGGTTTGACCACCCCAGTTAAAGCAGCATCAATTTCTGAGACCGATCAAAAGAGTGTCGTTTTGGGTGAAAATCTTGGTAGATAGTTTCTTCAATTCATTCAAGGTGTGATTCGAGCTGCAGGCGTCACACCTAAAGTCCTCATTGCTCAAACCCTTATGACTAATAGTGTAAAAACTTTTGGAGGCCCTACTAGTGGAGCTCCGGCCGAGGCTGAGGATTGGCTTTATGACATTGAGAGACGTATTAATGTGATCCAATTCAGCATCATATTTACCATGGCTATTCTAACTTCTCCAGGGAAGAAACTTTCTATCTTTATACCTATAGATGCTTATTTCATATGTTATAAGATAGTTATTTTCATATATATATATTATACCTATAGTTATTATGATAATAAGTTATCCATTTATATATGAGATACAAGTTATTATCATATACTATAGTCACATTTTTATAATATACACATTATATAAGTTTATATACTTAGTTTATTTTCTTATGTTACGCATGTAGGCACATTCAACCAACACTTGGGAGCTGCATTGGAGCTAAATGGAGCATGTAACAGCAAGGAAACTTACATGGGATCGATTAGGAGAGCACAAGGAATAATTGGTGAAAAGTTGTCCGGAGGCCGTGAGCTCATAGCTAGATTGAGTTGAAGATTTGAGCTACAAGCAGCTGGGGAGTTGCACCATCATCATCACCACTTAGGACACTTCAAATATGTCCTAAGTCAAAATTTGTGAAATCGTACCTTTTCGCAAATAGTTGCCACCTCAAGAGGTAACTTTTCACAAGGAGCTGTCCAAACGTTCACCATGTTACAAGTCATCTAAGGTCAGCTCACCACCAGCTCATTCACATCCAAAGTAGCTCAAACAAGAAAGGTTACCTTTCCAAACATTGTGACCTTTCATGAATGATGCTGCCCATGAAGATGCCTTTTCAATAAGGAACACGTGGATGAAGAGATCACACCAATCGGAAGCTTAAATCATCAAGAGATATGAGCTAAAGGATCCATGCCTATTCGGCCACATCACATGCCATGCACATGAGAGCCTTTGGCGCCAAACATGAATAGACACACCACCATTCGGCCAAGGGAAGAAAATGGCACCAAGATGAACAAGCATGCCCATTCGGCCAAGGGAGATGTCTTCTCATCCTTAGCCGAATCATTAAGGCCTTTCATGAAGAGTTAGCCAAACCACCACAAGCCCAAAGGGCTTATTCATTCATCTCAAGCATTATGTATTTTCCTAGAGACATGTATCTAGCCGAAGCAACTTGTAACCATTCGGCCAAGCCCTCTCATTTCCTATAAATAGAGTGGCTTGCCTTCATTTGTACCCATCTCATCTCTTATATAAAATATACTCTTGTGAGTTATTTCTCTTCAAAGTTCTTTCTGAACTTTATCGATTAAGCAAGTATAATTTCTTATACTTGTGGCGTCATTCTTTCCAACTTGATTCCTAAATTCCTAGATTATTATCTAGTGGGTTGAAGACACTATCACCACCCCTCAAACAAGTTTGTGAAGACCGGGATTGTGCTCGTTAGCATTATTTCATCTTTGGCGTGTTTGAGATACAACATCACCACCATTGCCATTTCATCATCAACATCATCCATCTCTTCCATCAATTCTGCAACCATCTCTATCCTTTATTTATTTCATTTCATTCTTATTATTTATTTTCATTACTTATATTATTATCCTCTTTATTAATTCCATTATTAATCATTCTTTTCTTATCTTATTTTGCAGCCCAAACTTATAAATTCAAGGACATCAGTACTTGTCAATCCTAGATCGAGACACAATAAGGCTATCTACTCTCTTCCATCAAAGCGTGTAGATTCGCCTTACATCAAGCGGTAATCAGAGCATAGTTGGATTGACAACAAAAGTGTCATTGGCGTGCAAAGCAAAAGAAAAAGACTCCTACATCAAAATTGGAGTACAAAAAGAAAGAAAAGATAAAAAGAAAAAGAAAAGAAGAAAAAGAAAAGAAGAAAAGAAAAAGAAATTCAAAAAGAAAGCAAGCCAAGGAAAGTGCTCTACCATTGCAAAGTACATCAAAAAGGCCATCTACACTAAGAGAAGATAACCTTATTGCTTCTTGAGAAAGGTTGTAGTAAGTGTTGTTTCTTGAATTGTAAGTCACCTCTTTCTTTTCTATACCTTCATTTTCCTTGTCTTCAACCATTTTATCTTTTAATACATTTAAATCATTTCTTCTATCTTTCCATTTCTTCTATTCTTGCTACCCTAACCTATCTGCAGCCGACGCACACAATGAATGAATTAACTTGTTCTAATCTTGAGTAAGTTCTTCAAAGGACTTAGCAAGAGAAATTGGAGTGGAAAAAGGCTAACTGAGAGAGTGATATCATAAGGAGAATTGTTAAAAGCCAAATTATATTCCCGAGAGTAAACACGAGTGTTGAGTGGAGTGATCTCTTAATTTTCTTTGGAGTGAAGATTGTGAGACTTTGTGAGTGTGCTGGTAAGGTTTATTTTTGTTTTATTTACTAACCATGTCTCAAAGTCCTAAAGAAAATGCAGGTCAACCCAATTTGCAAATGCAAGCACTAATTGGAGAAATGATAAGATTGTTTCGAACATAATTTGATGCTCTCCATGAGAAACTAGACCAAAGACAAGATCAACCACAAACCAGAAACAATGATACTCCTCGGAGGCAACAACCTCTTCCAGAAGATGATGTTCCAAATCCTTATGATGATGAAGAACCAGCATTGATACAAGGATCTAGGCGTGCCAATGTTGATGATAATATGAGCAACATCAAAATCAAAATTCCTCAATTTCAAGGGAAGACTGATCCAGAAGCCTATCTTGAATGGGAAAACAAGGTGGAACATGTGTTTAGTTGCCATAGCTATTCTGAACTCAAGAAAGTAAGATTGGCAGCTATGGAGTTTGTTGATTATGCTTTGATATGATGGGATCAACTTACTATTACCCGGAGGAGGAATGAAGAGAGACCAATTTCAACATGGCTCGAAATGAAAGGTATCATGCGTAAACGTTTCATTCCTACTCATTATCACCGAGACATGTTTCAGAAATTGCAGAATTTGAAGCAAGGCCAACGGAGTGTGGAGGATTATTATAAAGAAATGGAAGTGGCAATGATCCGAGTCAATATTGAGGAGGATCGTGAAACAACCATGGCTAGATTTCTAGCTGGACTCAATCCTGAAATTGCCAACACACTAGAATTGTATCATTATATCGAACTTGATGAAATGGTGCAAATGGCTATGAAAATAGAAAGGAAACTACGGAGAAGACCTATCTCTCGTACTTCAGTGCCTACATCTTCAAGATGGAGTCCAAACAACAATTTGAGAAAGTCTACCCCTATTCCTACCAAAGAGAAGGCTGAATCATCAAATGCTTCCCAAATTGGTAAGGAAAATCGAGGAAAATAGATCCCTGAACGATCAAGAGACATCCGTTGCTTTAAATGTCTTGGGAGGGGACATATATCCACACAATTTCCCAACAGAAACACCATGTTACTACTTGGAAATGATGAGATCGAATATGACCATGTAGAAGAAGAAGCGCCACCACCACCAACAGAAGTTGAGGAAGAAACAGAAATTAGTGCTCCGGTGGAAGGTAAAGCCTTAATGGTTAAAAGAAGTCTGAATGCCCAAGTAGTAGAAGATGACGCACAACGGGAAAATATCTTTCATACTCGATGCCATGTGAATGAAAAGGTGTGTTTCATGATTATAGACAGTGGGAGTTGTACTAATGTTGCCAGTACCATCATAGTGGAGAAATTGGGATTGCAAACGTTGAAACATCCAAATCTCTACAAACTACAATGGCTCAATGAACGAGGTGAACTTAATGTCAACAAACAGGTGATGGTTCCTTTTTCAATTGGTAAGTACAAGGACGAGGTTATGTGCGATGTTGTTCCTATGCATGCTAGCCATTTACTCCTTGGAAGACAATGGCAATATTATAGGAGGACCATTCATGATTGTTTTACCAATCAGTATTCATTCAACCATGGAGGAAAGAATATCATCCTAACACCCTTGACGCCTAAACAAGTCCAAGTTGAGCAAATCAAGATGAAACAAAGTGTTGAGGCCATGAGGAAAGGAAAATTGAAGTTAATCCAGGAAGAAAACATTCCAAAAACAAGTGCTTATACATCTAAGTGCTTGTTACAAAGATGTTTATTGACGAGGCGCAAGG